GGGAGGGAAGGAGGGAGGGAGGGAGGGAGGGAGAGATCACAAGATAATTTTCAGGAGTTTGTTCTCTCCTTTGTCCACATGGGATATGAGTCCTGGAGATCAAATTTCAGATGTCTGGCTTGGTGACAAGCACATTCACCTGCTGAACCATCTCACTAGCCTGGACTACATAAGACTTTTACTCCTTGTGACCCTGCTTCCATTAGATGGTTTTTTAAAAAAATTATACAGCAGGGTGTTGGTGGTACTCTCCTGTAATCCCAGCACTCAGGAGGCAGAGGCAGGTGGAGCTCTCTGAGTTCAAGGCCAGCCTCGTCTACGGAGTGATTTCCAGAAAGGCCAAGGCTACATAGAGAAACCTTGTCTCAAAAAAAAAAAAAAAAAAAAAAAAAAAAAAAAAAAAAAGGAAAAAACTCCTGTAGAAATGAGCAAATGTGGAGTCAGAAAGCTGTCAGGTCTTGTGCTAATGTGGAGGCCATGTATCTGAGACCTCAGGATTAGGTCTGTGCTTGTCAGCTTGTCAGCTTTACAAGGGGGGAGCCTCCTTCTTGGGAGGGATATAGTGACCCCAGGAGCTGGGAGCCACCCCAGTCATACATCTGGCAAGTGAGCATGGATCACAAAGTCCAAGCTTCAAGGAAATTAACTCTGCCTGTGTCTGGATAAATCCAAAGTGGATTTTCCCCGTCTCTGAAGACTATGCTACAGTGGGGCTGAAGACAGGGCCCACTGGTGAAAAGTGCTTGCTCTGCAAGCTTGACAATAACCCAAGTTCAATCCCTGGAGTCAGTGGAACCCACCGTGGAAGGAGAGAACTAACTCCTGAAAGTTGTTCTCTGACCTCCACATGTGCAGTGTGGTATGTAAGAGCATGCCTGTACTGGCACATACACACAGTGATACACACACACATCACACACATACACCACACACACATACACTATACATCATATGTACACATATATACATACACCACACACACATTACACACACACCATACATCATACACATACATACACATACATACACACACATACACCATATATCACACACACACATACACCATACATCACACACACACATACACCATACATCACACACACATCACACACACACATACACCATACAACACCATACATCACACACACACATACATACACATCACATACACATCACATACACACCACACACACATCACACACATCATACACACACATTTATACATACACCACACACACATTACACATATACCATACATCACACACATACATACACACACATCACACACATAATACATACACATATACACACCACATCATACACACATACACCATACATCACAAACATACACATACATCAAACACACAGATATACCATACACCACACACATACATACAAATATACACATCCACACAACAACAACTACTACTACTAATAATAAAAGAATAAAATTAAAAATCATAGTGGCCATAATTGGCTTCAGCCTTCTGAGGCCAAAAGGAATTCTGTACTGTCTTTAAACTTCTGACCTCCAAGACTGACAGGCAACAGATAACAGCTGTCTCTGTCTCTCTGACTGCCTCTCCTCTGTCTCTGTCTTTGCCTCTGTCTCTCTCTCCCTGGAACTAGATAGTAGCAGACTGTTTTCCAACTGGCATCAATCTTCTTGTCTCTGCTGCTGGGGTGACTGGATTCCAAGTGTGTACAGCAACATGTCCAGTTCCATGTTTTTAAATTTTACCCTTAATTATATTTAGTTTTTTTTCTTCCTTTCTTTCCACCTTCCTTCCTTCCTTTTTTTTTTTTTTTTTTTAGCTTTTGGGGCCTGTCCTGGGGCTCACTCTCTCTGCTGTAGACCAGGCTGACCTGGAACTAACATAGATCCTCCTGCCTCTGCCTCCTCTTCTTAATTTCAGAGGAGAAACTCAAGCTCCATTGGGGTGGTGGTGACCTTTGTGGTCAATCTCTTGTATACAATACTCACATGCGTCAGAGTCATACAAAATGCTTGCTTAAACACTTCTGGGTTCCGGGTGTAGCTAGAGGGAGAGAGCTTGCTTGGCTTGTTATAAGGACTTGGAAATCAAAAACAAACAAACAAACAAAAAAAACAGGCAAAATCTCCAAACAAAGCAAGAGACTCTCGGTCCAGCCCCGGGAGTTTGACATTCCTACAGCTGGAAGGAGACAGATAGCAGTAATTCGTTTTGGTAGAAAACTTCCTTAGAGTTCACCTTCGCGTTTCTGCCCCTCCCTGCTGGATGGAAGCGGAGCTCCACCCATTGGAGGCGGGGCTTGTTGCTTCCGCCTCCCAGCACGATCCCTCCATTCTCATTGGCTGTCGCTGGGAGTCATCACAGAGCGGTCGCTCCTCCTCCGGAACGCTAGGTTCTCGCTGCTGGGGCCGAGTCCCGCTTCGCTTGTGTTGGTGGTGGGATGGCGGCTGAGGCGCAGCCCCTTCTGGGCAGGGACCGAGGCGGTGGCCAGGCCCGTTCTGGTGAGTGAGGTGACACTTTCATTTTTACTTTTCTTTTTTCCTCCTAACTTTTTGAGACAGGGTCTTAGGTAGCCAGACTGGCTTTGAACTCCAGATCCTCTTGCCTCCACTTCCCAAGTCCTGGGGTTACTGCACCACCACTTAAACTTCTTCCTCATGGGGAAACTGAGGCTTAGAGAGAGAAGAGTTTTCCGATCCGTGGTCCCCAGGCGTAAGTGGCTGAACATCCTTCTGGGAGTCACTTTGCTCTGGGTGCTAGGGGCTGGCCAGGGTGGCTTCCTTCCCTGTCCCCTTAAGTGCAGGGCCCCTCCCATCCTTTCTCTCCTCTTCTCCCTTCCTGAACTCAGGGAGAGTGGAGTCACCCTCCCAGCCATCTGGGGAGGGTTAGGTAGTGGCTGAGAGGCAGAAGATCTTATTCTCATTTTCCAGGTGAGGAAATGGAGGCCAAGAGAGAGAACGAGGAGAGGAGCCCTAGCCATCTCTGACCTACGTAAGGTCACAGCCCTGCCTTGTGGTGTGGCCACTGTCAGTACTAGCTTGTGTGTGCAGGCCTGGACATTCCCACTTCCCTTTCTGGACCTCCTTTCTCTTCTGTTGGGAGCAGACTAGATTGGCACAGTGGTCCCCCGTGCCTTTCTGTTGAATATGAGGCCACAGAGGTCCCCGATAGGAGATGAGGAAGCTAGAGGCTGAAGATGGCCACACTTCCAAACCCTCGCCCCCCTGTTGTGAGTGTTGAGGCATATGGTTCAGGGACACATGCTTTGTGTTGGGGCATCTGGGGACCTTTTGGGGGCTGCCAGTTGCTGGGTGTGGGATTTGCTTAGCTTGAGTCTCAATAAAAGGGGGTAGTGACGGGTTGGCGGGGTGGGGGACATATTTGGAGGATGCAAAGAGATTCTGTGAAGTCTGGTGTGTGGGTCTGACAGATGTCTGGGATAGCAGGGTCATGATGCTCATAAGTCCTGGCCCTGCAGAATGAACAAGTGACAGATTCAGTCTTCTCTGTTGAGGCAAGACTCAAGGCTGGGCAGTGTCATCTGAGAGACTCTGGGGGCTCTTTGTCCAAACACTTGGCTTTGGCTAGGGCTGAGAACCCAGACAACACTCTTTGTGTTTGCATCTCCTGAGCTGGGCTGCCCTTGAGAGTGCATCTTTTAGTCTCTACACCAGCATCCTGTGGGTGAGAGATGGTTTCCAGGCTCTGGGTTTGGCTGCCCTGTGATCAGACTCCCAGAGTGGTTAGCTGCTGCAGACCTCCTGGGGACCTCAGGGGTCTCTGCAATTGTGCTCTGCGGAATCAGGTATACCTGGCTGGCCCTCACCAAATGTTGCAGAGAGTAGTTTTACCTTGTTCCTCCCGGCTGGTGTGAAACAGGATGAGGGTGCTTATAGGCTCTGTGGGCTAACTGCAAAGCTGAGGATCTGGGTCCTGCTGGGAGGAGTCAGGGAGGAAACTTCAGAAAGGTCACACAGCATGCTGGGCAGAGATCAAGAATGGATGTGTAGAGTCTAGAGTGAGAGGCAGAGCAATCCTAGACCTGGCTGTCAGGAAGTTGAGGGTAGAGAGATTTGTCCATAGGTATCATTGGGGACACAGGGTCTGAGCTTCTGTTATTGTCCCTCACTTTGCCTCATTCTGACCCTATGTGCTCAGAAGTCCTCTGGCTAACCTGTTTGGAGTTATAGGTATCAACAGGTGATTGCTACTTAAGGCAGTGAGCTCAGGGCAGGGCAGGTAGCCCTGGGAGAGTCTCTGGACCCTCAGGTTAGAGGAAGATTCTCTGGCAGAGACGGCAACCTAGACACGCGCTCAGAGGCTCTAGAGAGCCAGGCCTCCACAGGGTCAAGTTCCGAATGTGTGGCATGACTGGGACAGGGTGGTGAAGTAGCAGGAGATGGAGTGGGTGGGCAGAATGGGTTCCCGAAAGTGCCAGGATGGGGCAGAGTGTGGACCTGGAGCATAGGGGATCCCTAGAAATCCGTGACATGCTTCCTAGAGCTTGTGATAAGCTTCCTAGAACTGCAGGATGCAGAAGTGTGAGTTCGAGAGCATTCTTCAGGCACCTGCTGCCTGGGTGAGCTCAGGTAGCAGGACCAAGAATCTTACATACTAGCAGCCAGAAGCTAGATGAAAGGGCCCCTGTTGTTACAGAGCCCCAGGGTGCTGACTCACACCTGTGGAGGCTTGTCTGGGTGGACGTGAGTCCTTGTAGCCAGTTCTGAGACTCAGCTATAGCTGTTTTTTGTCTAAGAAGTTATTATGGTTTATGGCTCCAGGCCCAGGCTACTCTCTAGGGCATGACTAGGCTGCTAGATTCTCCCAGGCTGCCCTCTGCTATCTTTCTCACTGGGCTAGTTGGTCTTCAGTTCTGCCATGCTGGGAACACAGCGGTATGGCTTCTTGTTCATAGCCATCCCAGGAAACTTTCAGGAACACCAGCACCCACAACCCTCAGAGCCTCTCTGAGAAACAGTTATGGTGTCTTTAGGATAAGCCTCATGGACACACATGTGGGGAGACTGAGGTCCTGGTTGATAAGGTGTTGTAGCATGGCTGGGGCGGAGCTAGGAGTGAGGTACATCTCTGGTCGTCCTCTGGGATTTACTGCCTCTGTTCTGTGACCCTAGATGTGAGCCCGAAGAACTAAAGCAGATGACTCTTCAGAGACAGAGGGCATACTGTGTAGGCAGCCGCTGAGGCTCTGTCTATGGTTGTACACTGGCCTCAGGGCTTCTTGCTGTGGCGGCTCTGTTCTTAGCAAGGGCATGGCTTCTGTGGGTCCCAAGAGACCAGATTTTATAAAAACCAGAACTACGAACTGAGATAGCTGGATTTCTCACCTTGTTTCCAGCATGATGTCACGTGAATTGTTGGGGCTGCACAGTCCCCTAGCTCTTCTGCTCAGGGTTATATTTGTGGTCTACCTGGTCCTGAAGTGGGGAGGGAGGGAGAGCTCTGTGGTTGTTGGTATTGGCGGAAGAGTGAGAGTGATACCTTTGGTTCTAGCCATAGTTCCCCCATGTTGGTGTGAAATCTTGTGTTCATTGGATAGAGGTTACCCCATCTCACAGTGAAGGATACTGGCTGAGGTGGAGCTAGCATGGGTGGTGATGGCAGAGTGGTGATGGAAGCCCCTTCACTGAGCCTACTTGGGCACCAGGGGCTCCTGCACCGCATGGCATCCATTCAGGAGCCAAGCATGTGGCCACTGGCATCCACTTGACAAGGTTGACCATTTCCTGCTCTTTCCATGTTAGTAGATGGTTGTGGGCTCTGAGCCCTAAGTATGGTGCTAGGGTTCTACAGGTTGCTACTGCCTCTGTCTTTGTGCATGCTGTGCCCTGGGCAGTGGTGGTCATAGAGTAGAGCTGTCTTTGTTCTGGGCCTGATTCCTCCACCCATGCCATGTGTTTTTTTTTTACCTGGTTGGCACTCTGGCCTGGACAAGTACCTGACCTGCTTCAGAGTGGAGGGCCTCTGGCTGCAGACAGACAGCTGCAACTGGCTTCCTTCCTGCATGTGCTCATCCTGTGGAGGTGAGGCTGTGCTGTCCTATTTGCTCACCTGCTGTGTTCCCTCTACCTACAGGTGCTGCATCCAGTCAGGAGCTCTGCATAGACCAAGCTGTGGTCTTCATTGAAGATGCCATAAATGTGTGTAGTGGCTGCCCTGATGACCAGGAGTCTACCCTGTCCCTTTGTTCCTTACTGTCCTAGGGTGGGGACCTTCATTTAGGATAGACACAATGGCGGAACCTGGACCCAGCTCTCACTTGTCCTTTGATGGAGGCTGTCTCCTTAGTGTTGGAATCACTGTGTTATTGATTTTGTATGTACTGAAGCCTGACTTGAACCCCACCCTGTGCTAGGCCCAGGTCTGGGAGACATCTGCAGGGTGGATACAGTTGTATTGGAGAGTGGAGCTGGCCTTCCATGTACACAGCCTTAGCCTGTACTGAGGGAGCTCTCTCCACTGAGCAAGCTCTGTAGCTTGTGCTGGTCTAAGTCAGAGTTCAGTGAGGGGCTGTTGTCCAGACTCATTATAGCACACTTGGCTGGATTGGGCCTGCCTCTGGGGAGATTAGATCATTGAATTGGGCCACGTGTGATTTGTGGGTATAGTTGGAGCGTACACATATGTGGCATCAAGTGGGACCCCCCTCCCACATCCATATATGTGTGCCACTGTGGGGACCCCACTCAAGCCCAGTGTGTGGCAGCACTGGCAGAACCTACTCGCATCCCTGTGTGTGAGGTGCTGGAGAGACCCAACTGAAACCTCTTTGTGTATCACATTTGGGAACAATGCTAAAGTCTGTTTGTAGCCAGGGTCCCTAGTCACTTCCCTGTATTGTGTGGCACTGGAGGGACCCTGCTCATTTCGCTCTGTGTGTGGCTCAGTGTTGGGGGAGGATCTGTCTCATGCTCATCATGTGCTCTTGTTTCCAGTACCGCTCCATCTACCACCGCATGGATGCTGGCTCATTGTGGCTTTACCGCTGGTATTACTCAAACCTGTACCAACGGTGAGACTGAACCCCAGTGGAACCAGGCTGTGCAGACCTGCTTGGTGGGGTTGGGCTGACCCTACAGCTGTCTTGGGCTAAGCATACTCCTAGTTCTCATAGACATAGAGATGACCCCTGGTGTCTCTTCCACAGAGGAGCCAGCTGTGTGGCCCTAAGGCTACTGGTGGTAAGGGCTTCCTCCTCAGAATGCTGGGCCAGCCTAGCCACTGAGTCTTGGGCCAGGCTGTGTTACTTGGCCACGCGTGGTAGCCACAGCCAAAAAATGCCAGCTGTTGCCTTCTACCCCTAGACCCCAGTGCTTCCTGGCCCAATAGGCAGCAGCCTCTCACACACTGACAGTGTTTGTTCCCTTCCCAGAGTGCTGAGCTTCACCATTTTCTTGATCCTGGCTCTGGCTTTTGTGGAGTTCCCATCATCATTCACAAGAACTGCAGATGTGCGCTACCGCTCCCAGCCCTGGGAGCCACCCTGTGGGTTGACGGAGACCATCGAGGCGTTCTGCTTGCTGGTCTTCCTGGTTGACTTCTCTGTGAAGGTGAGGTGGGTGGTACATAGATCACACCCACAAAGCTTCTAGTGTTGTCCAGATGCCCTGAGCTATCATTGTGTGGCTACCGGTGAGCCTTGGCGCTGGTGTGTGTGTGCTGATTTAGGTTGTTTACATCCATTTGTGTGTGTGTGTGTGTGTGTGTGTGTGTGTGTGTGTGTGTGTGTGTGTGTGTTTGGTGCACTGGAGTAGTCTGGGTACAAGTTGACCATACATTAGTCTTTCATGTGTTTTTTGTTTGTTTGCTTTTATTTGTGTGTGTGTGTGTGTGTGTGTGTGTGTGTGTGTGTGTGTGTGTGTGTGTGATTGGTGTACTCAGGGTTTTTTTTTCTATCTTTGCATATGATGCCATGGGCATCTCTAGGTTTTTAACTGGTGAGAATTTAGTATTCACTGGCTGAATGACTGGTACATGAGTGTATTCTCAAGGTGAAAGAGAGCAGAAGTTTTTAATCCATGGGCTGCGACCTCTGGAGGCAAGGTGATGGTGGGACATCAAGAGGGCAGGATTGGCAGGATCCCGCCTCCTGGATTGCCTTCCTGGAGTGGCTGTCAAGCCTACCCAGTGCGTGTCCTTTTGCCCTCCTGTCTTTTGGAATGCTCTCCTGTCTGCTCAGCATGCACTGATAGCTTAGATAGACAAAGCTGGTGGGACCTCTGCCACCAAGAGGAACCCAGCCAGAGAGGCTAAGTGCCATCCTTAGCTGCCTTGCAGGACCCCTGCTCAACTCCTCACTCCCCACCAGTAGTGCACAGAGACTGGACCGTTGAACTCCCCTCCCTGTTACCCACGTCCTTCGGTGTGCACTGATGCCCTCTGCCTGGCTGCAGGCCCATGTCTGCCTGGCTTGATGTTCACCCCTCCTCGTCTCTTTCAGAGCTACCTGGTGGGGCAGCCCCAGTTACAGGAGAACCTGTGGCTCCTGTCCTACTTTGTGGTGCTGGTTGTGTCCGTGGTGGACTGGATTATTTCAGTGAGTCTCACTTGTGAGGAGGTAGGTGTTGCGTCAGCTCTGAGACTGAGACAGCACTGTGGGAAAGGTACACATTTGAAGCTGAGCCCTGGGCCATGGGTGCACATACCCAGTGTTGTTTGGTTTCCCCCACTGCGGGAAAGGGTCTGTGACTTGAAGGCCAAGGTTTCTCCTGTGGTGTTCCTGGTGAGAGGACCTAGAAGCAGGGTCCAAGTTGCTGTGGCTCCCAATCCTTGAGGTTGCAGTGAACTCTCCTGGTTAGATCCCTTATAAGAGAGCCATCTCAGGGCATCACTGTTCCCATAGTTCCACACCCAGAGCTGTCCAAACTCAGTACTAACAAGTCTTATCTGCTCTCTCAGCTCTGACCACAGTGCCATGCTTCCTCAGAAGCACCCAGGACCCAGGGAGGGAGTGTGGGTAGCAAGGCAGGAGCAGGCTGATTTGGCCTTCATGGTTCTGTTAGCGTGTGATGGGAAGATGGTTACCTTGATGGGAATTGAATAGAGGGACTAAGACTGGTGCTGAGGACTTAGTGGAGCCTAGAGGGCTGATGGGAAACAATTCTTGGGATCCTGTGAGAATCCCTGCTGCAGAGCTGACTTGTCATCTGCCCTTTGGGTGGGTTCTGCCTGGTAAGGACAGCTGGTGATGGGAAGGAGGGGAGCCCAGCCTGCAGCCTCCCCCAGGCCCTACAGGAAGCTGATGGCAGAGAGTGGTGGGTAATGGGTCCCTGTCCCTATATCCAGCAGAAATTGAGGGGGCACGGAGACACAGTTCCACAGCTGTTTGGCACCTTCTACTTGCCCTCCTTTGTCAGATGCAGCTCCTCTTCTGATTGAGGAAGAGTTGCCCACGCCTCCTGGAACAGGAGGGAGGTGGCCTACAGCTACCTTTTTCATGAAGCTTCCCCTGGGTCTTTGCACGTGGCTGTCAGGAGGGAGGACAGTGAGGAAAAGAAGCTCCTTGTGACACACAAAAGAGTCCACCCAGTAAATGAACCAGGGTTGGGACACACAGGCACAGAGTGGCCCTGACCTCCTAAGTAATCTTTATAATGTCCCTCTGCAGCCTGCTGCTGTCCCTGGGCCTCATACTTGTTAGCTGTCCAGAGACCTTTACTCCTAGAAGTGGACTCTTTAGTTCTGCTTTTTTTTTTTGAAAGCTGGAGTGCTGTATCATCCCCTTCCAAGGCCTTGTACGTGCTGGGCAAGTGTTCTACTGCTTAGTCACACCCCAGCCCCCAGCTGTAGTTTTCCCTGGAGGACTTGGGGCCTCCTTATCACTCTGAGTGGCAGTGTCCTGTGCTGTCTTCTAGAGTTGGTTATTTGCCCTTGCACAAGTTAGGTTCCCATGTAGTAGGACCAGTGTGTGTCCTTGGTGGCTTTTGCCTTTGGAATTAGGTACTTCCAGACCAATAGGGCCCAGCATGGCAAGATGAACAGTAGAGATGTGGTCACTAATATCCAGCTTTGTGTCCAGCTGAACCTCAGACTCTGGACCCTTCCTGCAGGCCACAGATCTGGCAGCCACATTGCAGGAGGGTTCCTCTGATTTGCAGCAGCATGTGTCACACTGAGGTAGTGGAAACAGATCACTGGGTCATTTCCAAGCTCTAGGATGGTGGTGCTTGGCGAGGCACCATGGACAGGAGGGCAGAGCATGACTGACATAGCTATTTGTCCAGGGATGGATCAGTGACCCACATAGAGAAGGGCCTTGTGTTGGGCTCTGCTTTGCAGAGTGGGTTTGTCATTGGCCCCAGGTAGAATCTTCACCTTTGTCCTGGTGGCTATTTCCTGTGTAGCTGAGGTCAGAAGCTCAGGGTATTTGTAGGACCTGTTGAGTTGATATGCAACACTTCTGGGGCCCGAGTCCTGGGCATCCTGTGCCTGTTTGGAGGGACCTGTCCACATATGTCCTCCAAACCCCTTGTTTCTAATCCTTCAGCTCTTTCCACAACATTTTCTGCTCTCAGGAATCATGTCCAGTTAGCAGGCCCCTGCCTGCTGCCTCTCTCTGAGGGACTTTCTCAGCTAAGGCTGTCATGCCACAGGAGATCCATTTTTGCTTAGGTGGCTGTGTGACTCAGAACTTTTATAGCTATCAGGGCCCTCTTGAAGCACTCCCACAGATGCCGGATGTCTTGATGGGGAGGACCAGGCACCTGGCCTTCTTTGCCAGACTAGGTTTGTCTTCTGTCCAAATAAGTCCTCATGGTGTATAGGTTGGGTGACATAAGGTCTACCAGGCACTGGTGGTAATGACCGCATGCACACATACTCTCTCTCTCTGGATGCTTGCTTCCAGTCTGGGATCTGGGTTCTGATTTTCAGTATTGTCATCCTTGGAGATGGTACCTTCTTTCTTCCTTAGTCTGTGGCATTGCTAGCCCACACAGACAGCAAGACCATAAATAAGTTACCATTGTGTCCCTGTATGACTGGAGGTGGTCCAGGTTCCTGGAGGGGTAATGCATGTCTGAAGAGCTGGAGAACATGGGCTCTGGGCTGCCACTGTGGGTGGTATGTGGTGGTTCAGGGAGTGGAGGGCACTGATATCTCTCAGTCATGGGAACCAGGCAGGGTATCCAGGTTGGGCTGAGCCCTAAGTAGTTTTCTGGTTGTCATGGTTCCTGTTGTTGCCACATTCTGTTCCAGGCTCTGGGACCTTTCTGTATGAGCATAGCCTAGGAGCACCAACAAGCCCTCACAAGGCTCCCTTGGGAGTCTGTCATGTTGGTGCTGGTGGGCCATTGTCCTGTGTTATGAGCTGCTAGAAAGAGAGGCACTGATAGATAGCTGCAGTGTGACGGGTGCTGTAATGGAGAACCCCAGGAGAGTGAGTAGGGGGTGGAGGCGTCAGGCCAAGATATAAGGAATGCTGTAAGCTGTCAGCACTGTGGCCAGCAGGCCTAGGATAGCTGGAGTGGTTGGCAGGGACTACTCCCTTCTCCATGCTCTGGGATCCCTCGAAGGAAGGTGTGTGTGTGGTCCCAGTTCAGTGGCTGGCTTTTTGTCTTCCAGCCCCTGCGGGTGCGCCGATCACTCCGTCCCTTCTTCCTGATGCAGAATTCCTCCATGATGAAGAAGACCCTGAAGTGTTTACGGTGGTCACTGCCAGAAATGGCCAGGTGAGCACTGGGGCTGGCAGCTGCAAGCTGGGCCAGAAGCACTAGAGGGTAAGCTTGCTCCTATTGGGTATGGTTAGGGCAGCCCTCTGGGTACTCCCAGCCCAGCATCCTGCATGAGTAAGTGGGCAGTGTCTGGGATCCTGGTCAGATCTGGTTAGACACTATAGACTCACACCTACCACACCCAATTACTGAGTTGAGCAGGTGCCTCATTTTTATCCCTGGGGTCTCCTCTTGGTTGTCAGTACTGGCAGCTTCAGTTCAGCTGCCTCTTACATTGTGCAGCTATGCTGGCCTGGAATCCCTGTAGCTCTTGGGGCTCAGTGCTGTGGAGCTTCAACTCCCCAGGCCCCTCCCAGTCCTCTTGGCTCCTGCCAGAAAAAAAAAATGTCACCCATGCCCTCCCTCTGCCTCCAGTCCCTTCCCTGGTAGGCCACCTGCCTGTCCAGCCCCAAAAGATGGAAGTGACCTCTGTCCTCTGTGTCCTGGTCCCTGGCTGGCCCATCCCCAGGGTTGTGTCCCACCGCAAACAGAGGAGCTAGGGTAGGCTTGGCTTCAAGTTCCTGTCCCAGGGCTGAAAATACTCAGTTTTCTCCAAGGAGAGGAGGGAACACTGTGCCCATGCCTGAGATCATGGGCAGGATGGTGTCATGCCTCACTGGGTGTGTGGCCTGTGCCGTACCAGGCTGAGCACTGTCCTTTCTCCCAGTGTCGGGCTGCTGCTGACTATCCACCTGTGCCTCTTCACCATAATTGGGATGCTAATTTTCTCTTCTGGATGCTACTGACTATCCACCTGTGCCTCTTCACCATAATTGGGATGCTAATTTTCTCCAGTGATGAGAAGGTAAGTATGGCCTTGGCCATAGGTGGGCCTCATAGGCCTTTGTCCCACAAAGCCTGCCTGCTCTGGAGTAGCCAGGGTAGCCAAGAGTGACAGACCAGGAAGTGGGTCATGATACCTCTTGAGGGTCTGTCTTTTACATGGCCAGTGTTCCCATCACTGAAACCTTTATCCACCCCTGTCCTCTGTGCTGGTTGTCTCCTCTATGTCCCTGTATGACAGGCTCTTCACTGAGGTGGCTTAAAAGTTCTTCTCCAGTCTGTTCATGCCTTAGCCTTCCTGGTGCCTGCTCCAAGCCCCAGCAATGCTTGGCTAAGTTCCTGGCTTCTGACTCTGGACCCCTGCCCTGCCCTGCTGTAGTTGAGGCTTTGACCCTAGCAACTTGCTGCTTTGGGGAGATGTCCACCTGTCTGCTTTGGTGGCTCAACTTTAGGTTCTGTGTGTCTTTCTTCATGTCTAGCAAGGGTATGTCCAGGCCAGGTCATTGTCCTCTAGCTTGGGCCATTTTGCATCTCAGCCTCTGTTGTGGGATATGACTGGGTGGTCACCTCACGGCATTGAGATGACATAATGGAGCCCTGCTGCCAGGGTGGGAGAAGACAAGATAGTACCTTCCAAACCTGGGGTGCTGGGGTGGTCCTGCGGGTGCCTGCATGCCAGTATCTCTGTATATGTGTGCCTCTCATGGCCGCATGACTCTCTGGATAACTCTTGTCTGTGGGTGTCTCAGGATGTGTAGTGTATGACTGTGGGGGTTCCCTGCCTTGCCTGTACCCAGCCAGTCTCCCAACTCTGTCACTTCTTGTGACATCCATGTCCTCTGCCCCTAGTCATTTGTGACATGTATATGTCTGTGAGTCTGTTTGTGCCATTTGTTATGCCTGTGTGTGTCTCATGTTTTGTGTGTCTGTGGGTGTCTCTGTGTACATGTCTGTGAGTGTGTCAGTGTCTGTATGTGAGTATGCATATCTGTGAGTTCGTCTGTATCTGGATATGTCTCCATGTCTATGTATGAGTGTCTCTCTGTGTGTATATGGTTGTGTCTGTGAATGTCTTGGGTGTGTCTCCACATAAGTATATAGGTATGTCTCTGTGTGCATATCTGGATGTGTCTCTGTCTCTTTATTTTTGTGTCTTCATGTAGTATGTCTCCATCTCTGTGTTTGTAGGTGTCTCCATGATGTGTCTATTGAGTGTCTGGGTCTATGTATGCATGTCTATGGTGGCAGGGGCTGGACTGCCTTCCATACCTTTGAGACCTCTGTGTGACTGTCCCATGACTATGATCACTGCTGCTTCTCAGAGCCTGGGTTAGGCAGGCAGGCAGGCAGGCAGGCAGGCAGGCAGGCAAGCAGTGTAGGGGCTGGCAGTGGCTATAGCCTCAACCTCAAGATGAATGTGGGGGCCTCTCCCTAGGAGTTCTGTATGCAGTGCTACAAACTGGGTTCCTGCTCCATGAAGGGGAACCAGGCTGAGCAGGGTGAGGGTTGTGTAATTGAGGGTGACTTCCTGTCGTGGTCTTGACAAGCATCCCATTCCTTATGCTCTGTTGTAGTTGGGAGGGTGTGAGGACTTATCCATGCTGAGTTCCTTCTCCTTGGCCATCTCCAACTGTGCTAACCTGACCTGGGAAACAGGTTGAGAGCCTGCTGCATGTCCCCATGGCCCAGCCTGGTATCTCCAGACTTGTAATGGCTGAGGACACACTCCTAACCTTGTCTGAGCGCCTTCTGCAGGTGTTGTCTATAGCTGGCTCACTTGCTACCCACATCTCCCTCACCACATGGTGCTGGCCTTTGGGGCATGTGGTCCCTAGCAGCAGTGCTGTCATTGCACTCATGCTGTGTGCTGGATCAGGGCTATGGCCATGTGTTGGCAGTGGGCTGGGTATGAACCCAGGTTCCTACAGGCAGGGCTTTCTCTGCTGCCACAGGCCCATGGCTCAGAAGAGCCTACACAGCTTATGGAAGGAGTGGACTTTTGGGGACTTGCGCTGCAAGAGACCTTCTGGGAGATAGATGGGCCAGGCCAGGGGCTCCTGCCTTGGAGGCCTCTCATTCCCCTGACCCCCAGTCTCATTTGCCTTGTCTGGAAACTGATGCAGGTGCTAGAACCTTCCTCAGCCAACATGAAACCTTCCCTGAGCTCACTTAGTAAGTTAGGGGATTGATTCAGGCCCTGGAGAGTTACCATCAATCCTCTAATACTGTCCCTGGACATGTGCTTGGGAGATGGCTTGTCCTCTGTGTCCTTATCTGAGCAGTGTCTTTGAAGGTGTTTGGTGTCCTGTCCTAACCCAGGTGGGGCTATCTGGTCCTGCAGTAGCAACACCTTGCCTCTCCCATGTCCAGCATGTCTCTCAACCTTGTTGCTTCTTGTGACATTCATTTCCCCCACCCCTAGCCATTTGTGGCATCTGTTACCACTCGTCACTCATCTGTTGTCAGGCTCCATGGGTGGCAGTGCTATTTTGTACATAGGACAAGTGGGTTCTGGAGTTAATGTTTGTCCTAGATTCTGTGCAGTGGGGAGACTGCATCAGGTGGCTACTTGCTGGGGTGTTGGCAGAATTGGCCTTTGGATGGCAGGGGGAACTTGGCTTTGAAGTTGTTTTGGGAGAAAGTTGGTTCTGTGAGCATGTGGTCTGCTTCCTGTATGTCACTTGCTCTGTTTACATTGCCACCCATTTTCTGGCTCGAGTCTGCAGCTTGGTAGGCACAGGGTAGCTCTAGGGGACAACCCTGAGTTTAGGAGTCTGGAGTTGAGGTTACTTTGAGGCAGGTACGCTGCCCATATTTACTGCTCTCCATGTCAGGAAAGACAGAGGCTGGGCTCCTAGGCCTGGCTACCCATGTTGAGAGCTGTGGTGAGCCATAGCTGTATGGATAAGGCCTCTGAGTGCCATGAGTGGCCAGGGACCTCTGCTTCTGGAGCCATCAGTCTCTCCCAGGGGTCCCATCCCAAATCACTGGGGACAGTCCACTATCCTGTGGTAGCTTCTTTGAGGCCACCCTTTCCAGGATGGCTCTTTGCCTGTCTTGCTCCCTGGATCTTCCTCACTGTGCACACAGCACCTGACAGTCAGGTTCCAAGGAGAAGGACTGGTCTTTCATGTTGTTGCTTGGCTGCCTGGCTGCTATGCTGCTATGCTCAGCTAGGCTGGCTTGGGGTTTCCGTTGAAATTCTGGATAGGCCATTGTGGTCAGAAGCCTGCATATGTGCCTGCAGGCCCTTCATTCAGAATCTGCTGGGAAGTGATGGGTGGATGCAGGTCAGGGGTGCTGACTCCACCCCCACCCCTAACCTATGTGTGGTGGGTCTGAGGGGGAGCTGTGTCAGCCTACGACCTCAGCTGGGGGACAGAGGTCCAGGTGGCTGCCTCATCTGCTCTCAGGATGAAGCACAGAACCAGGAGAGGCTGGCCTACTTCCGGGACCTTCCAGAGGCCTTGACCTCACTCTTCATACTGCTGACAACGTCCAACAACCCTGATGGTGCGTGTGGGAGATGGGAGGGGCAGAGAGGCGGGCGTGGGAGGGCTGGTTGGGATGCTGAGTTGTGGAGCTTGCCCTGAGTGTGTGAGCCCTTTTCATGGCCCCCTCTGTACCTTTCCTCTCACCCCCGTGTGTTCTTGGTCCCTTCCAATCCCTTCTTTTTTCTTCCCTTTGTCTTGTCACTTTATTCCCTGGAGAAACTGAAAGTGTGTGGTGGTATGTGGTGATGTGGCATTGATCAGTGGTTCCTATAGTGGCCTCTTTGGGACCTAGCCACACTCCCTCTCACACCCCCCCCCACCACCAGCCTGTTGTGAGAGGTCCCAAGTCTTACCTGGCCACGGCTGGGTGCTGCCAGGTCCTCCAGCTACTCCAGTGTAGGCTGTGCAAGCTGCAGTCCTGATAGCTGCTGTGGCCTGGCCACTGTAGCCAGTGCTGTTTATCCCAGGCGTGGGCTTTCTCACAGCCTTGGAGACCTCCCCTGAGGGCAGCCTGGGATTCCTATCCCAGAAGTGCTGTGTAGCCTGACCCCAAGCCAGTCACTGTGGGGAGAGCTGGGGTGTGGTCACAGGTAGGCCCATCAACAAAGGGGTAAGCACCCATCCCAGGGGCTACCAGTAATGGAAGATGGAGTCCTCAGTCCCTCAGGGTCAGGATGGAAATGGGGCCAGGTGCTGCAGTGTGTCTTTAGCCTCTGACTCTTTCTTTGTCTCAGTGATGATTCCTGCATATAGCCAGAACCGGGCCTATGCCCTCTTCTTCATAATCTTCACCTTGATAGGTAAGTGCAGGTGGGCCTGTGTGGATACAGGCAGGTGCTCACCCATGCTCAGGAGTGGCTGTAAACCGGCCTACACTTGCTAACTCTCCTCGGCTTGCTGCTTCCTGTAACTGCCTCAGTCTGCTCTCGCCTTCACTTACCCTCCGCTATACCCCTTAACTTGACTTTAGCCTGTTTCACCTCATAGCTTTACCTCAGCTCATCCCCTAGACCTTCACCTTCAACTGACCTCTCAGCCTGTCCCCACCCTGTAAGTTCACCTCAGCCTGCTCCCTTGGTTTGCTGCCAACTTACACCTTCACTTCAGCCTGTCCACCTATGGCTTCACCTCTGCTCCCCACTCACGTGCTCCCCTATAGCTTCATTGCTGTGTACCGTCTCCTCAGTGTGGCCCCTCTGTATACTGCTTTCCTATTCTTCATCTCAGCCTGTCCCATCCCTATAGCATCACTGCAGTCCCCACCCTGTACCTGTGTGTGCCCCACGCCACCTGTAACATACCTCTCAGTCTGCTCCCCACCCCAGCTTCATCTTGGTATGCTCTCCCCACTCTTCCCCATGGTCGTTTGTAACAGGTGATGCTCCTGTCTGTCTTCCTATCTGTGGCAGGGAATACTTGGCCTTGAAAGGATGTAGGAGTTCGTGGGGGTGTGTATCCCCTGTTATGAGGCAAAGAGAACTCTATGAATGTGACTGTGATTGGTCATCCTGAGCTCCTGGCCACCATGGCCAGGCTTGCTGAGACCTTCGAACCCAGGGAAGGTTTTGGTCACTGGCTGCTGCAGGTTCTGCCCCACTGGCCTCTGGTTAGATTCTTGTTGTTTTTTTCATTTCCCAGGAAGTTTGTTTCTGATGAACCTTCTGACAGCCATCATCTACAGTCAGTTCCGCGGCTACCTGATGGTGAGCTGCCCCGACCACCACCCCCCCCCTGCTGGGCTGTGATGGAGCTGGCCCCAGACTCCAGGCAGAGTGGGCCCTGAATCAACTGACCCTAGTGGGACAGGGAGTCAGTTGCCGCCTCTTGTGGACCAGCTCAGATAAACTATCTCTGCTATGGTTCATTTCAGTAGCACAGGTATTGCCATGGCTACCCAGGGTTTCCTTCTCTGCCCTCCTACACCAAGAGGAAAACACCCAGAGGGCACAACTTCTGGGGTATCTGATCTGCACCCTAAATGTGCAGAGAAGAAATGCAGGCCTTAGAGAATTACGTAGTGAGCCACGGTTGGCAGCCATCCCTGCCTTGCCTTGGCTGGGCTCCCTCCTTTGAGGACTGTCCCTTGTAGGGGAACCCAGCAAGTGAGGGGCTGGCTCCCTAGGCTCCCCCTTAACCCACTCCCAGGGCAGGGTGGACAAGGATTTATGTGGGAACTGCCAGAGCTGGGTGTTCAGAGCCATCGTCTTTACAGAAGTCTCTACAGACCTCGTTGTTCCGGCGGCGGCTGGGGGCCCGAGCGGCCTATGAAGTCCTTGCGTCCACAGCAGGTCTGGCTGGAGCCACCCCTGAGGCGTGAGTGCTGGGTGGGGTCCTCCCCCAGGACACTAAGGTCTTTTGCTTCTGGGAAGGGGAGTTGGGTGCTCAATAGGGGTTTCCTGAGTAGCCCCTGCTGGCTGGCACCAGACTGGATATTCCATTTGGAGCTGTGTAAACTGCCAAGCCCTCAGTGCTTCCATTATCCTGTTTACCCTTGCCTGTTAGTCCACTTGTAAGTGTCTAAGGCAGGCATCCACACTGCTAGGTAGGTAGAGAAAGGAGCAGATAGCTCTGGTGTGCTGCTGAGGAAGTTCTGGGCTTGACTCTCAGTGGCAGCAGCATCTGCTGTCCAACTAAGACGTCTCCAGGGGTCTTAGTTGGGGTTTATAGGACCCTACAGCTCACTCCATGTGGAATCTCACCAAGGCTGTTTTCCATGCAGCAGGGAGGATTCATAGCCAAATTCAGGCTGGGGAAACTGGCACTGAGCATGCTCACTGGGGTAAGATTTCTTTGTCACAGAGTTGGGGTAAATCCTGAGAACTTCCTGCGAGTACTTCAGAAAACCCAACTGGACAAAATCCACAAACAGGCCATCATGCAGGTTGCTGCTCTTCCTGGGTCTGCCCCAGCTCCTGTTGGGTGGGTCGTCAGCCTAATGCTTACCCATGGGTGGGGGTGCTCAGGAATTGCTCCCCCATTGCTAGTGGCCGACCTGGCCTTCCTTCTACAGAAGGTACATTCCTATGGAGGCCGTCCATTGCTGGCTGATGAGTTCCAGAAACTCTTCGATGAAGTTGACAAGGGTGTGATCAAAGAGGTAACTAGGTCTGGCCTGTGCCACTTGTCCAGCCTGGGCTAGTGGGGTTCCATTCCTCGTTGTTTCTAATGACCACTGCCAGGACTTGCCTGTCCTGGATCCTTAGTTCCTGGGATTGGCAGTGAGAATCCTTTGGCTCTTGGCAATTTGGGGTAAATTTGTTGGCTAGAGACATTTACTATTTGGGGAACCAGCCTGGGCAAGCCTGACACAGAGGAACATTCCATACCATTTTTCTGTCTGAAACAAAGTCCTCTGGCCATTCCTCTGGGAGGTCTAAATGCTAGCCCTCTCCAAGGCCTTTGCCTCTCACTCTTGACATTTGTGCACAGTCCCTTGGGGGTCTTGGCTTCCACTTTAGCCCCAGGCAGAGGACAAGAATGCCTGCATGTTCTAGTGTGGGTTTCTGGGGTGAGCAGCCTTGTTAGGCATAGCTCAGGTACCCTAGGCAGGCAGAGGACTAAGGGAGGTCCTGAATCAGGACAAGCTAAGTTGGGATCAGATGTGTCCTGCTACCTGAAGCCTAGACACTTCCAGTGCTGTCTGACCCAGCTGCTCCTCCTGCCTTAGGACACATAACCATAGCAACTGACATTTAATGTCTTATGTCCTGGGAGCTGGAAGCCTGAGATGGAGACATCACAGGCCCAGCCCCTCTCAAGGCCTCTCTGTGTAGTTGGCTGATGGTGGCTTCTCCCAGTGTCTGTATGTGGTCACCTTCTGTGTGTGTGTCCCAAAATCTTCTTACAAGGACATAGTCATGTGGAGTAAGACCCTCCCCAGTACCCCACTCTTACACAATCACCTCTGGAAAGGCACTCTCTATAAATATATGCAAACACATCACATTCTCTGGGGATGGGACTGGGCTTGAGTGGAGAAGTCTGTGCAGCATGAAGGATCAGCCCTCCTGTTAGCCACTCTAGAAGGCTCAGGTCCCCATTGCAGGTGGTTGTCTTAAAACCATGTTTCTCTCAGGCTTCCCCAGGACTTCTGGAGGCATGCATTTATTGCTAATGTCCTTAGGGGTGTTGCTTCTGCTCCCATCTTGGGACACAGGAGTCTGATGATAGCGATATTTCATCAGGGAGCACTGTGTATATATTCTGCCATCAGACCTCTGCGTGGACCAGGTGAGCATTGAGATGTCAGGGGGTCCCCTTGACTTGGGGCGTGTGAAGCAGATGCTGTTGGATATAGGCTTGCAGCGATTAGGGAGGCTCTGTTCCAGGTGGTGGTTTCCAGCCTGGGTAAGAAGTCTGCTGCCTCAGAAGGCTGCTCTTAGAAGCCATACAGGCTAGGTCTGTTGTCACTCAATCCTTTTCTAGGTATAGTTAGACCTGGTCAAGAGAACAATCTCCATTTAGGCTCCGTTCCTTGGTCTTGCCCAATAGTGCTTGCTGGGCTACCCTGGTTGTCCCTATGCTGGTGCTTGCCAACCTCTGGGAGACATAGTAGCTGTCCAACTTGACTCTACTTTCTCCCAGTGCCAGGATGTTATGGTATCTATTCACGGGGAGGTGTTTCCTGTCACAGTGCTGCAGAGGAAGGACACACAGACTGTGTCTATCAACTGAGGCCCAGTAGAGTAGACTTGGGCTGGGGACAACCTAGCACTTGAGCTGTGTCCTTCCTCTGGCCCCTCTTCCTAGCTACTTTTTGGATTTTTTTTTTTTTTTTGAGACAGGGTCTCCCTGTGTAGTCATAGATGTCTTTTCCTAGCTACTTTTTGGATTTTTTTTTTTTTTTTTTTGAGACAGGGTCTCCCTGTGTAGTCATAGATGTCTTTGAACTTACTATGTAGCTCTGGGTGGCTTCAAACTCACAGAAACTCACTATCTTTGCTCCAGAATGCTAGGATTAAAGGCATGCATGACCACACTTGGCTTTCCCAGTTACTTATCTGCTCTGTGGCCATGCTCTTTGTGGTGGTCCAAGATCTGAAGCTTAGGATTGGGTCTTGATATGTGTTTGAATCTGGAAGTTTTGAGAACCTTGGGTCCTTGCCCTGGTGTTATGTCACTCTTCCGTCCAAAAATGGAGTGCAGTGGGGACTGTATTTTAATTTTGAGGTTCAGTTGCTTGGGAGTTGCTAACTCTAGGGGCATGCTGTAGTTTTGGATCAACCCATTCAGAGAGATGCCCTGTGTAACACGAAAAATAAAAACCCAGAGACAGATATTGGGGTTCAAGCTTCAAGCTGAAGATCAGAGAAGCAAATCAGCCAGCCACCAGCTCTTACCTCTACCTCAGTCTAAAAGGAGTGATCCTGTCTCCACAAGCACTCCACCAAGCCTCAGACTGCTGCCTTTCCTCAACATGGCTGGAGAATGCATCCTGAGACACTGGGCTCCTGTCTTTTATACACTTCTCTAGGGCTGGGATTAAAGACATGAGCTCTGTTAATCTTTTAGACTGATTCACTCTGGTGTGGCCTTGAACTCAGAGATCCATTCTGAGTCCTGGGATTAAAGGTGTGTGCCACCACTGCCTAGCTTCTATAGCTATCTAGTGTGGCTGGCTCTACATTCTGATACTTCAGGCATTTTATTAAATCCTAAATAATGTATCACCACAGCCCTGGGGTAGGCTGATGCTGTGGTAGCTTGCATGATCTGCTTGTCTGTCAGCAGGGACTGAGTGCATGCTGGTGGATGCAGAGCAGGCACCGTGCCTGCAGCTTCCAAAAAGTCCTTCAATGGGTGTAGTCACAATTGTAGATGTGAAATAATAGAAAGCCCCCTTCACTGCCCTCCTCAGAGGCAGCCTCTGTGACGTTGGAGAGACAGTCGGTTCAGCTCTCAGTAGCACAAGAGTACGTGGCTATGTTCTGCTAAGTTTGAATGTGATGGAGATGCTGGACCTCTCTTAGCAAGGTGTCAGTGTGCTTCCAGTCAGGCAGAAACCACAGAGGGGGTGTAAACAAGGCCCTCGCCCTATGAGGAAGTCTCAGGTGTGATGAAAGACCTTCTGTAGAGAAGGAAGAGCTCTGGGGCTGAGGGATAGTACCCAAGCAAGGAGACCTTAAAAGGAGAACTTCCCCAGCCAGACTCAGGCCTCTGTGGAGAAGTCTGGCTTACGCTTCTAGAGAGAAGGTGGCCCAAACCTCTGGAGAAGGTTTCCAGACATCTGTGGAGAATGTGGCTGAGATTCCTGTGCAGAAGATGACCTAGACTTCTGGGGAACAGACCTCTGAACTGCCTGAGCCAGTGCTGGTCTGTGGGCCACTGGCAAGTGAGAGCAACTGTACTGGGTAGTGCGGGGGCCATGCTCTCTGCAGCAGAGGTCAGGATGTGCAGAGCGCTAAAGGGCAGCCCCTGCACACTAGCTCACATGTGAGCAGGTCAGGCTGAAGCTCTAGGGTGCCAGGAGGACTGCATGCCTGGAGAGTCACCATATGTCCTGATACCACATGACACCAAAAGCTGCAGGGGGTTATTCACTCCTGGCTTGTCCTCCACCGTCTGTTGAGACTCACCCCATGCCTGCTGTAGGTAAGGGATGCTGGCAGAAATTATATTCACAGTGGAGCTGGTGTTGACAGCAAGTCAGAGCTGAGAAGTAGTGACTGCTTTTTGAGGACCCTCCCCAGAGGAGCCATTCTGTTCAGTATGGTGTGTTGACATTTTCCTGTGGACATTGTCCCATGTAGTCCTAGGCATGCTTGTCCTTGACATGGAGTTCATGAAGTTTGGGACCTTTCCACGTAAACCACTCTTGGTGATGAACTCTCTTCCCTGCATCTCCCGCACCCCCACTCCGGTAGTCTTGACCGTTTTTCACTTGGAGCTGTCACCTGAAATGTGGCCTTTGCTGGTCACTGAAGAAGTCAGTGGTTCAGTTTTATTATTGAAACTTACTGTGTATGTATGGTGGTACTCCCACCCCTGGGGCAGCAGGAGCGGAGCATTCTCCCTGCCTCCTCTGGGTGGACTCACAGGTGTATCAGGCTGCCCCTGTGGTTCGCTGCCTCAGTCTGCTGTAGCCACCATCACATGTGTCCTTGTACATGTGAGAGAGGTGTCACAGGAAGGCACAGACCTCACAGGTCTTGTGAGGCTGTCCTCCACTGCTGTCCACTCTGGATGGCCACAGTGCATCTGGGTTTGTCGTTATCTTGTCCTAGCACTTGGTGAGCCAGCCTTAGGAATGTTCCACAAAGTAGTGTCCATTTGGTATGCTTTTATAATTTTAATTATTTATTTGTTTGTTTAGTCATTTTTTTTTATCTTTCAAGACAGTAGTGTTTCTCATGTATCCTTGGCTGTCCTGTGACTCACTCTGTAGATCAGTCTGTCTGCCTCTGCCTCCCGAGTGCTGGGGTCAAAGGCATGTGCTACCACTGCTCAGTGCAATTTCAGTTTTTATTGTATTTTATGTGCTTTTTGTGTGTGTGTGTATGTCACAGTGCATGTGCTGGTCAGAGGACAACTTATGAGAAGCTGTTCTCTTTGTCCACATGGGTACTATGGGTAGAACTCAGGTCATCAGTCTTGGTGACAAGGCCTTCACTCACACATCTTTTATGTGTATGCATGGTTTATCTACATGTATGTGTGTATGCCATTTGTGTGTCTGGTCCCTGTGGAATAGGTCAGAAAAGGGCATTGATCACCTGGAACTGGAGTTGCAGATGGCTGTGAAGTATCTTGTGGGTGCTGGGAGCTGAGACCAGATCCTCTGCAAGAGCAGCTAGTGTTTGTTTTTTCTGTGTAGCTTTGCAGACCAGGCTGGCCTCGAACTCACAGAGATCTGCCTGCCTCTGCCTCTGAGTGCTGAGATCAAAGGTGTGCGCCACCACCACCCGGTTAAGAACAGCTAGTGTTCTTAACTGCTGAGCCATCTCTCTAGCTCCCAAGCATGCTTTTTATTTTTAAACTATTTTACTTATTTTATGTGCATGGATGTTTTGTCTGCATGTGTATCTGTGTACCACATGTGTGCTGGTGCCTGCAGAGGCCAGAAGAGGGTGTTCTATCTCCAGGGATTGGAGTTATAGATAGTTATGAGCCACCATGTGTATACTGGGAATTGAACCTGAGTCCTCTGGAAAAGCAACCTGTCCTCTTAACCACTAAGCTGAAGAGATCGATCCACAGTCCGTAAGGCTAAGATTTCTTTATTCAGATAAACACCAGCCAAGCGTAAGCCAGAGCGTGCCAGGGGCAGCAAGGCAGCCAGGCTAGAGAGAGGAGAAGGGAGAAGAGGGTCTCCACGTGTCCGCTGTCCCTTAAGAATCCTCCCCGAGTCACCTTGAGGCCTCCCCTCACTACGCCCTCATGGGCGTGTCCCAGCACACCTGTCCGGGCTGCTAGGAGGCGGGGCTACAGTGTCTCCCTACAATTCCCCTTTTAGTCTAAAAGAGGATTAAAACTTAATAGTGTAAAACATCCAAAATTAAGCCGGGCGTTGGTGGTCCACGCCTTTAGTCCCAGCACTCGGGAGGCAGAGGCAGGTGGATCTCTGTGAGTTCGAGACCAGCCTGGTCTACAAGAGCTAGTTCCAGGACAGTCTCCAAAACCACAGAGAAACTCTGTCTCGAAAAACCAAAAAAAAAAAAAAAAAAAAAAAAAAAAAAAAAAAAAAAAAAAAATCCAAAATTAACAATCATAAAGGTGAAGTATAAGAAGATACAATAATCTGCTATTGCACATCCTAACTATCTATTTCGTCTAAGCCCTAAAGTCATGTGGAAAGGGTGTCTAACTTGAACACCTCCTTCCAATCCCAACTCTAAACAATAAGAAAGTTATTTCTAACTAGCCTTACACTACCCTAATAAACAATAATGGGGAGCAGGGGCATAGCATCTTCTAAGTTACTTCCTGCTGAAATGGGACGATGGTAGCCTTGTGGGGTCCTGTAGAAAAAAATGTTAGCACAGGGAAAGTCTCTGTTGGGTTATCTCCAGTCCATGTTAGATGGGATTTGCTTGATTGAAGATCTAGGTTGAAATCTTCAACTTGATTGAAATCATTACTCGAGGCGCTGGTCGGAGTGTCAGTAAAAACAGAGTGAGTTGAATCCAGTGCAGTTGGAGAGATGTGGTCCAATTCTTTTTCTGGAGCATGCAGGGATTGTCGTCAGGTGGGTCTTCATTGGCTGTATGGGACTAAAACATAAGTGTCAGCAGAGAAATGTTTGCTTGCACATGTATGTGTACTGGGAAAGGCAACCATTGAAAAAC